AGGACTAGATTAAAAATAACCGTAGCATAGGATCTACCATTATAGAGCACAGAATGAAAGGGCGGTTAAACCAAATGAATGTGAATAGCATCATCCTTTTCATCCAACTTAAACTAGCAATTAAAAAGATATTTTAAAAAGACTCATAATAAACTATGAAGAATGACTCAGACTCTGAAAGAGATGAAGTATTGTGTTTAAATTCTGATCATTTAGGAAATGTTTGCTCCAGGGGAAGATACATAGACAATGATATAAAAAATTTTGATGTAATTTTAATTTATTTTTATGAAAATAATACAAGTTCCTTATGGAAAATGTAGAGTGGCAAAGAGACAAAAATGATAAATAATCCATAAATCCACCATTCAGCTGTAAATATTTTGTGTTACATGGTGAATATCCTTTCAGTCTCTTTTCAATGCCATATAGACACATCTTTTAACAAAAGAATCCAATATGTACTGCCTTGTTTTGCTCACTTATAGTAAGGTTGTTATCTTTGTACTTTTCTTTGCTTAACTCTTTAAGATAACATTTGCTCTAATAAATCAGAGGCATCTACATTTTGCCTTGGGAACATTTAAGACTGTTGTGCCAAGAATATGAAGAAAAAAAAGGTGTTGCTGTTAACTTCTAACAAGATGGAATTTTTGAGTGCTGAGGGAGATATTTTTCTTGAAAGTTAGGCATTGTTGAGAAATAAAAGGCTCGAATTTCTTAGGTTTCTGTCAACAAAAAGACCCAGAAGCTCCAAAACATGGGACAGATAGAGTGATCTTAAAATTTGTCCCTATATATTAACTCAAAATCTCCTTATTACCTGTTAGTCCCGGCTAAGTCATGCACTAAACGAGGGAAAGCACAGCTTAGCTCCCATTTTAAATGCTTTACCATTCTAATCAGAAGTCTAATGCATTATACTTCTTTAAGCTCGCTTATGCAGAGATGCCCAAACATGTTTTGATATTATCTTGCTGCATCAGGATTATGGCTGTGAAAATCAACTCTGGTTTTATTATGGATTCATGCTATCCCTATCCCACAATTATCACCATATTTTATTTTTCTTCCTCTTTTTCCTTTTTCTGTTTTCTTCCTATTACAGGGTGGGGTTTGGCTCTTTATTTTAGGCAGGGGAGAAAAGTAATTAAAATAACAAATGCATAAAATTAACCTGAACTCTTAAAACTCTGTCACCATGGAGACCAGAACATGAACTATCTCCAAGGGAACTCAAATGATTTTTTTTTTTTGCTTTAAATGATCATCACTTATTACTGAATGTTGATTTGGCCAAGGAAGGGAAGAGTAAAAATAAATAAATAAATAAATGAATAGCCTCACACCAGAGAATTTATTAAAGACAAGTATAGTTGTTCTGGTTCTTCGTATTGCATTATTCCTGTGAGTGGGAAGATATCCCAAGACAAAATTTTTCCTCAATTCAGAATTTCTGAAGAAATCATCTGATGATATAGCTCCATAAATACTAAAAAAATGACTAGAGAAGAGTAATCTCTAGAAAAGGCTTCTCTCACTCAGAAGCATCAAGGTGAGATGCAGGTGATATGGCTCTCTATCTATCACTCCACCTGCAAGGAAGAGATGGCTCCTAGACAATGTCTCATCCCAGTAATACCTCTAACAACCATTCCAGGTATATCACTTTATCACATCCATTATACACAACCATTTTAAATATGTGTAGTGAAGTCAAGCAGACTTGTATTACATGCCACATAAACAGAAAACGGGAATCACCCAAAAGTTTAAACTAGGTAAGTCAAAATTTCTTCCAAACACCAATTCTATTTTGCAAACCCATGGATATAGTCATTTAATCAAATACTCAGTTGAAAGACCACTCAAATGGTGTCTTATAAGTAGTAAGTGCTAACCTTTAATAAAAGCATAAAAATCAATAAAAGCTTTAATATGTACTAAAATAAGTCAGTAGAAACCAAACAAATATGACCAGAATGCAAAAAAACAAAATAGTCAATGACATCATTTGTCTGGAAGTTTATACAATTTGAACTTTATGCAGTTTTTTCTTGTTTTGTTTTGTTTTGTTTTGAGGACAGATCTTGGTAACTGGTTGGATATGAAAGAAAAAAAGAGCACCTGCAGTACATCCAGCTCAGAAATATAGGGTTTGTTTCCTGTGAGCCATTTTCATAAACCAATCAAAATATTACCTGGTATTATGTGTGTTTCTATTTAAAGACACCTTATTCAATAGATATTGTTGATTCATTAACATCGAACTTACAGCCGACAGCACTATAACTCATGCCTGAATGAAGCTTATGTAACACATAATTTTCTCCACATCACACACTTTTTGAACTTAGGAACACTAGATAGCACTTGAGCACTATACTTCAGGACCGTTTTAACAAGAAATCACCTTCAAAAAGCACAAAGATGCAAAAAAAAAAAAAGTGGCACTAAATAGACTGCAAAAAGAATACCTGCTCCCATATGAGTGCTAAAAGAAGAAGGCAGAATGTCACTTTGTCTGACCTCAACTGGGAATGTGTGTAGACAGTAACTCAAAATGTTTGCCTCTCTGCACATGTCCATAAATGACCATGAAAGCACCTCGACCATTGATTTAAGGTTACAAATAAATTTTAGCAAGTAGACAAATTTGCAAATACAAAACCTACAAATGAGTATCAACTGTATTTGCCAACTATAGAGAACTACTTCTATTTCCCTATGCTGCTGCTTGCTAATCCACTGCATTTACCTGTTTTCTTTTATTTACCTATGAAGCTCCTATTCTTCTTTCTAAACCCTGCTCAGGAAACCACCCCTTTGCCCACCCCACCCCCCCCCCACACTAACTTTCCCTTCCTGTTCCCTTTGCTTCTTATACTCATCTCTATTTTGCACAATTAAGATTATTGACATTTTCTTTTACTGGCCTATGAACTTCCTTTAGGTCAATGAAATATCCTATGTATGTATATACCAGTTACTGTGCTTACTATGTGGCAGGCTATATGTTAAAAAGGAACTTCACATACAACACTGTGTTTAATCTTACTAGAATCCTATCATGCCCATTTCACAGTTGCAGAAACAGAGGCCCAGAGTATCACTTGCCATATCACAAGCTGCAAAGTTGGTGTTCAACCTAGAGCCCACACTTTTAACCATTATGTTATCCTAAATAAATAGTATTACTAGATACCACATATTATTGACTGCTTACTATGTGCCAGGCATGGTGCTAAATGCTTTATACAAATTATCTTATTGAATCTCCTTATTCATCTCTGCATCTCCAATATGTAGCTGTTAATTGGACTGAATTTATTTCTTCCTGCTCCCAAACCGTCTTTCTAAAATCAACAGCATGAGAAATCTCTACATTTCCAGAAGTGGCCAGGATGACTTTCAGTGTTATACCACCCTTCTCCGCACCAAATTCCTCACCTCCTTCTCATTTCTGTTCTTCTGTAGTTTTGCTATTGATGTCTACAATGTTCACAAGGCAACTCCTCAGAGCAATGGAGAAAAGTGCAAAGCACTATCCACTTGAAAAGATCTTTCTCTGTAACAATAATTTCTAGTACTGATTTATATGATAACTTAAATCCTTATGGAGTAACAGAATCATGGAAGAGCTAAGTATTTTTGCTTGAGGGAATTGAGGTAAGCCCTGTATGAGGCTAAAAGAGGATTTTGTTTCCCAATGTAGCTTTGGATTTCAAATCTATATAAACTTTCACACTGAATTCAAAACAGGCAGATTTTGGAGATGAGAAGAAAAAATAAGGCTTTGGAAAAGTAAGGGATAGGTGTGAAAAATTTGCAAGACAGAAGCTACAGGGCTCACATACATTGCATGAATGAATGGGATCAAGGAAGGCTTAGCTTTAGGGCTAAGTCAAAAATCATGTTTAAATGGCAAAAGTATAAAGATGACTTCACTTTCTCTTTTTGCTCTCCCCCAGAGAATTCCAAATACAGAATCCTAATTGCCCTAAAAGTCCCCATTTTTCTCCCAGTTATATGTTATGGTTTTGCTATTGGTTACTGCAATAGTTAATAAAACCAGATAATCTCTAAGTGAATTCAAAGCCCAAGGGCTAAGGCAAAGGAAGTAAAGCAAATGCCTTCTGGGACCAGGCAGGAACTTTTATGAGTGCAATTACAAAGAGAACTCCTATCTTCGGTAGTGGTACATTCATTGTTGCCAGGAAGGATAAAATCCTTTCAACTTTCCAAGAAAAGACATAATCCTGCATTTTTATGTATAACCTCCTGGTTTTAAATGTGGGCAATTATTTAAAAATGAAAACACAGGGCATGCCAAACAAACTGTTGGCCTTTAGTGGGAAATACCAGTTTGCAGTCCCTGGTCTGAAGAATCCTAGGAGCCTAATAGGAGCTAGGGGCCCTAGGTGATATTTAGGGATGTCTTTCAAGTTATTCAGTGTGCCTTACTGCCAAATGACAGTCCTAGAAGCCATGTTCTGAACAAACATCTCTCTCCTGTCCCCTGGCCTCCTCCTATGCCCTGCTTTTGTGAGCAAGTACTTGTCTCAGAGACCAGAGTTCCACGCCTCTGCAAACACCCTCCGGTCCATCCTGCACCCGGGTGATCTATGACCCCTGGTGGCAGGGCACGGGCTGCAGCAGGTCTTGGTGTGTGCTGGGGAGCCACTCGTCCAGAGCGCTCCTCTCCTATCTTCTCCTCGGTTCCCAATTTGCATTCCTACCCTCCCCATTTCTCCTTTGAAGATGTTCCCCTTGCTTTTCTCCTCTCTTCCCCCAGTTCTGTCTCATCCTTTTCTTTCCCACCTCTTCATTCTTTCCCCTTCTTTCTCTGTTGTTCCCTTCCTCTGTTCTCATCCTCTTCTGTTTATTCTATCCTCTCCACCCTTGTCCTCGCTCTATTACTCTCCTTCCTTTCCCCATCTCTTCCGCGCTTCTCCCTCTCCCAGACCCAGAGAAAGGGGAACTTGGGAGAGCTCGCTCACCAGGAATACACCAACACCGGATTCGAGTATTTTTTGTGACGGGAGCGGAGGGTCAGGGAGCCCTTGCGCTCCAGCACGTCGGGGGGTCCGATCTCAAACTGGTATTCCCTAGTGCTGCACAAGTCCAGGCGGGAGCTGCCGAAGTTCTCCATGACCGCCCTCGCAGCGCAGACCTCAGATTTCCCTCTGCACTGGTTCGGCCCGGAGCCGACACCAAGATTCGGCGTCTCTCAACTCCTAAGCAACCTGGGGCGGGGTCAATGGAGGGAGGGCGCCCTCAAACGTAATAACCCAGGTTTCCTAGACAGTGTTGCTGCCGAGTTAAAGGAAACTACATTTCCCAGAATGGAACGAGGGGGCGTCCGGGCTTCATAGAAGAAGAAGGGTCTGCATCTTGGGACTTGTAGTTTCGCCCGCCCAGCAGCCTAATCTCCGAGTGACTGGGCGGAGTTTAAGGGGGACCCTAGGTCAGTCAAGGGCTGATGGGACCTGACCCCAGAGAGGGGTCTGTTCCGCTATCCTTGCATACATTCTTTTTACCATCCATCATCTGTTGCCACCATACTTTCTGCTTACAAGTTTGACTAAAAGGGAGCAAGAGAACACCCCTCAAACCCTAAAATATGTCATTTCTATATAGATTTTTCTAACTGAGAAAGAGGAGGGATGGAATTATTCAGCTAAAAAGTCTGAGATGAATTGACCTGGCTGGTTCCAATTTCAGCTGCTTTCAATACTTTCTGAACATGAGTTCCTTCCTCTGGAAAAAAACAAAAACAAACAAACAAAAAAAACAAAAAAAAACATGAAGGAAGGGTTGTGACTGAAAAGGGGGCGGCATGAACACGAGAATCTGAGGTCTCTTCAGATTCTTAAGTACAGTTTAGGGCTCCGGTACATTCAGCTTCCTAAGACTTACCAAGTTCTTATCATTTAAAACATGATATTTTGTGACAATCCAAATTCATCACATTATTGTATTGTGAGTTATATGCAAGGAGATTTCAAAATAATTATCTATGGCATTGCTTTCAAGAAATCAATCAATAGCTGTATTATAGAAGGGAAGTGCTTATTTCATTTTTTCACTTTCCAAGTAAAAAATATTTAACACATCAGAATTCTCTTCCCCTGCCTCAGTTGAACACTTTAAGGGCATTAATGGACTAAATCAGGGCCCTCCCACTCACCTGGAACAGTGCTTTTAGTACATGGCATCATTTCACAGTGTTGAATGAGTGAGTGAAAATTATGTTTGATTGTTTTATATTTACCTGGGCTTTCAGAAATTTCATAAGTGTCTTACTATATGAAGACCACATATACACAAAAATTCAAATTTAAAAGTAGACAAATTGCCCTAACAGGTTTGGCTCAGTGGATAGAGCGTCGGCCTGCGGACTCAAAGATCCCAGGTTTGATTCCTGTCAAGGGCATGTACCTTGGTTGCGGGCACATACTCAGTAGGGAGTGTGCAGGAGGCAGCTGATCGATGTTTCTCTCTCATCAATGTTTCTAACTCTCTATCCCTCTCCCTTCCTCTCTGTAAAAAAAATCAATAAAATATATTTAAAAACAAACAAACAAACAAAGTTATTTTAAAAAAAGTAGACAAATTAAGAGATTTCACATTACAAATAGGTTCTCTAGTTTGCAAAAGATTTGTTATAACACTCCTATAAATAGTGAGGTGCCTTTCTGGATAAGTTTTCATAAATTTGATTACACATAACTATTAAATGCTTTTCTGTGGCCTGTGATCGCTCCATGTGGACCCCTGTGGTACCTAAGTCCTTATTTTACAGACAGCCACAGTTAAGCCATGCAATCTGAAACCAATCTAGCTAAGTGCTAGTAGATTACTGGCCGCTATTTGAGTTCTTCTTGAAGTAATGGGAGGAAAATAGAAGTTAATTTTAAAAGGGTAAATAAGATCTGTGTTAAGCTCAGTGCTATACAAAGCATAGCATATAGCTATTGTTCCAAATATGACCACCATTGCTATCATCTGCTTGTGTGTTTCTTTTACTCATGCTTGAAGTGGTAGCAACAAAATGTGCAACCAAGACGTCAGGTCTGTGCCGCCAATCTGAGGGAGAGAGAGAGATTCCTGGAGCTCAGACCTCTTTCTCTGCTGCACCGGTGCTGCAGAAATTTCAAAGCATTTCAACACACCCACTGGCAATAAGTTAACAAAACAAGCAAAAGATAGCTTGTTATTTTAGAGTTCCTTAAGCTAAGATGACAGTCTATTTGAGTCTACAAATACGCTTTTTTGTTATACAATTCTTTTTTCTTCTTTATAACTTTACTAGAGGCCCCGTGCATAAATTCATGTACGGGTGGGGTCCGGCCGGCTGTCCTGATGGAGGCCATTGGGCCAGGCCGGTGGGGGGAGGGGATGCGGGAGGTTGGCTGACCCCACGCCCCGAAGGAGTGGGTGGTTGGGGCTAGGTCCAGCAGGGGGCTGGGGGGGCGTCACCAGGAGGTCAGTCGGCTGACCCTGCCCCCGATCAGGGTTGGGGGGGCCGGTCGGGGGCTGGCCCGGCCCGGGTGAGGAGCCACAGGAGGTTTGGGGGCCGATCAGGGCCCTGATGGGGCCAGTTGGCCTCCGCAGTGCATGTCATAGCGACAGGTCATTCTGGTTGTTCCAATTGTTCCAGTTGTTCCATTGGTCCAGTTGCTTGGATTTTATATATGTAGATACGCTTTATTGTCTTCTGTATCTACTAAATCCTTTCAACATCCTCATGTTGGGATGTATGAGATTAACTCTTACACTCTCAAATTCAGATGCTTTTCATTCTCTTTGTATACACCAGTATATTCTGTGGAATTTTTGGTTTGTTTAATCCTTACTGATAAAATAGGAATAAAACAGTATTTATTGCAGGGGAGTTTTGTAACAATTACATAAGATAATAACTACATTGAAAGTGGGTGGAATATTGCCTAATAAATGTTCAACCCTCAATTAAATTTCAACTACTATGACTATTATTACATCCTAACTTTGTTCTTATCATTTGGAAAAAGCGCCCTAACATGTGATTGTTTTGGGGGTGAAATTTCCTTAGTCACTGTTTTTCAAGCTTTGCCTGTTCACAAGGTCTTTTTAATGACTATCTTTTTATCACATTCTAATATGAAGCTTAATAGTCTGAATCAGAAAAACACTGGCAAGATATCTGTACATGTTACCAGTGATAACAATGGTTTTGTATTCATATACTATCTTTTCACTTCAAAACCTTTAATAAGCTTTATGCTTTATAAATGTGAAATGACTGATCCTCAACACACTTGACTTATTCCTATTTTCCTCAAACTTCATCAAACCAATGAAGTAGGGCTTAAGCAATGCCTTCTATTTATATTAATACTAGAGGCCTGGTACACGAATTCGTGCATGGGTGGGTCTGGCCAGCCTGCCCTGATGAGGGCCAATTGGGCCAGGCCGGCTGGGGGGAGGGGTCACAGGAGGTTGGCTGGCCGGCCCTGCCCCCAAATCAGGATGGGGGGCCAATCAGGGGCAGGGCAGGGCCAGCCAGGGAGAGGGGCTGTGGGCAGTTGACCGGCCGGCCCCACCCCTGATTGGGAGGGGGTAGTTGGGGGCAGGGCCGGGCCAGAGGGAGATGTTGCGAGAGGTTGGCCAGCTGGCCCTCAATTTTGCCATTGGCCGGCCGCAGTGCCTGTCATAGCGGCCAGTCATTCTGGTTGTTCCAGTCATTCCAGTGTTCCGGTCACTTAGCTTTTATATATGTAGATCTTTTCACAATAATAGCCTTGGGGTAAGAAAATTACAACCCTGGTGGCTCAAACAGGACTTTTCTGTAGGATAAGTACTGGCAGACCGATTCAAGAAGTGGGAATCTCATCACCTGAGCCTAGTTAATATGTTTCTGGATTAGCATGATCAGATCCTTAAAGAGGTTGCCCAGTAGACCAGAGTAGGACAGCAAACCTAAAATAACCACAGGGGCAAACCTCTTCATCTTTTTTCCCTTCCAGTCTTAACAGTCAATCTGCTCAATTCCCATAAAACCCCCTGCTCAGGACCTTCCAAAGTCAGCATATTCTCCCATTTCTTCACTCTACTAAATGTCATTCACATAAGCTGAGAGCCAAAATTTTTAATTACATGAGAAAATTAATTTGTATTATTTTTGAATCAAGTTTAAATATATTAAAAGGTTGTATTTAAAATTTTAAATATATTAATTTCAGAGAGGAAGGGAGAGAAAAAAATAGAACATCAATGGTGAGAGAAAATCTTTGATTGGTTGCCTCCTGCACGCTCCCTACTGGGGATTGAGCCCGCAACCCAGGCATGTGCCCTGACCAGGAATCAAACCCTGACCTTCTGGTTCATAGGTTGACGCTCAACCACTGAACCACACCATCCTGGCTATTTAAATTTAAAACTAAGTATTTTTGTCTTAATCACAGATTGCATAGTATATATCTTTTTAGTTCTCCAGGAGTAGGGTCCTCCTGTTATCTACTATGTATACACCTAGGATTCACTTTTGAATATTTTATATAAAAAAGTTGGGAGTCCACCTGCTATGTCAAAATGAATGAGAAGTGTCTGGTTATCCTTTCCTCTTCCATGTCCTACTTCTTTTCTTCTTCTCTCCCCTTCTTTGGTTCCTCCTTTCTTCTCTCTGTTTTCTACTCCTCTTCTTGTTCCTTTGAGATGTGACATGGATTTTGGAATCAGGACCTATTGCTGAAATTCTGGCATAATTCAAAGTTATATGAAAACTATGAAAGAAAAATAATAAGACCTAGAAACCAGAGCCAAAATTTACATGAATAAATTCATATTTAACAACCCAGTAACTAAAAAAAGGAGTTAATTCTTGATGAAAGCTTCAATCTTCTTTCCTTTCCTTTAACTACTCGTAACTACTAACAATCTTTTTCAGAATGATTTTAACCTTGAGTATGATTTCTCTATGCTTTACTGCGTTAAGCATCTGCCCCCTGGTGGTCAGTGTGCATCATAGCGACCAGTCGGACAGGTGGAGGGACATTTAGCATATTAGCCTTTTATATATATAGACTAGTAGCTCGGTGCACGAAATTCGTGCACACTGAAAGGGAATTAATTAGAGGAATGTAATTTGGACTCATTATCTAATATCAA